GTGGGTGGGTGTGTGTGCGCACGTGTGTCTGTAATTATACATAATTTACTTTTCTAATGTAAGCAAATGGATTTTGTTAAATCAACTTGTTCTTTTCCTTAGATAGATTGTTTTTAATTCAAAATCATTAAAAACATTTACAGTTTGGTTTAGAAAAGATCTGTGTACAATCATCCTTTTTTAAAAAAAATCTAAATTACTATAAGTAATGTAATTTTTTTGTCAATATCCTTTAAATTTGACTTGCAGCCATATGCAATATGTGTTAGTAGGAGGGATTAATATATTTGTTTTGTGTGATATACTAAGTTTGTTTTAACTAATATTAGACAATGCATAATAATTGTATGTTATGTAAATACTATGTGAAATGTAAAAATACCCATTTATAATAAAGAAGCATGGTGAATGGCCTTTCAGTACTTACATCTCAATGTTGATATTTTACATTGTGATGTTATATACTAAAATATTTTGTGTTGTTATCAACAGACTATGTTTTAGTTATGAACCTACGATGGAAGTCTTTGAGCAAACTGTCAGAAACCGAGATAGAAGATGCTATCGCAGAGGTGAGTCTAGCTTCTGCTTCTGATTATTTTTGGGTAATCATGTTGTATACTTTAACTGTTGATCCAAGTTTAAGTGTATGTTAATATTGTATAATAACTTGTGAATGTATGTGACTTTTCTATCCAGCTCCTCCGACTGTACGGCCTGCCGCCAGAGCTTTCTGTGAATGTTCGCTCTGTTAAAACCTGAGATCAATGGAAGGAAGTGAAGGATGACATTGAAAAGAATGTCTGAGAGAATTTTTTAATATGAAATTTTATTTTTTTGAAATACAGATTGTCAAAATTAGCTTTGTAAACCTGCTATGATCTTGTTTAAGACATTGATTTCTCTGTGTTTTTCTTGTAAGTAAAGTATGTAGAGTTTAAAAATGGGTAAATAAATTGTTATAGGGCAGTGTTGATGTATTTCTTATAAAGTTATAAGTGCAGTGGTTCCCAAAGTTAGGTTCATGACCCCATTATTAGTTATTAAACATTACCTCCTGAGATCATCTCCAGAGTGTTAAAAAGAATTATTATCCTCATGTTTTCACAATTACTTGTAAATTAAGACAAAACAAGGCATTCCTTGATGTAATGCATTTTGCTTGTCACATTGCATGTCAAAGTTTTTGTTACCAATGGATCTCACAAAATCTATTAGCACTAACAATTTAGTTTTTTTTTTCAAAATCACTGAAATTTCACATCTCCTGTTAAAATACCAGTGAGATGGTATCCTGCTCTGAAAACGGGCAGTTTTCCTGCTGGCCGGGGGAGCGCTAATGAGCTCAGAGACTCTTTGTGTTACTTCATGCAACTGCAGAGTAAAAGTAATAGCAAAATAGCTAATAAGCAGGTCAAGCGCAGCAGCGACCATTTGTTGTTTTCCTATCGCCAAGTCTGACTTTAAAGATAGAGAATTATACATCCAAGTTCAAACAATTTCCCAAACTTGACTTTAAATCAGGTAAAAATGCAAAGAACACCCGCTCAACCCGCTGAGAGAAGAATTGCCGCTTTTTTTTTTGACATTTCATAACTTAGGGTTTTTCCCAGTCAGTGGCTACTCCCTTCCTCTACCCACTCCTCACTTTGTTTGCTCGTGCCCGCGCAGTTTAGTTTAGTTTAATACCTTATTCTTTCCATAAAACAAAATTATATGTACAATAAAAAGAAAATACAAATAAAATGAAAGGTGGTAGAGAGAAGAAAAAAACTCATCTGCCCCTTTTTTCTCAAGTATAAATTCAAACTACAATAATCTTCAGTTAACAAAACAAAACATTGAATCTTGTTGAGTTGGCCATATTAAGTCCCATTTGAAACCAATTATGGACGAGGATGAGTGCCTTATAAAGCCCTCCACAGCGAGTCAGCATCCAACACTCAGTTGAGCGGCACATGCAGCACCAAAAAGGGATCGGCATGGAGGACAGGACGGATAAATATGAATTTCACACATGCTTTGCACACATTCACTGAATAAACATCTCACCAACAAATATAATTTCACATAGGCTATATAAATCATGTTAAATTCAATTCAAACTTTATTAAAGACGCAGAACCTTGGTCCATATTTAAAAAAGTAAATAAATGATTAAAAAATGTTAAGTGCTATTGTTTTGACAAGGTATCCCACTGTATTTGTTACAAATACAGTCATATCTGAAAACTCTAAAATGTGGGCCTAATTAAATATTTTCGAGGGTCTATTGAAAAAAAAGCATCTTCTAAACGATCTTACTGCATTAGTTCTCCAGCATTCAGTCGCTGCCAGGGGTTGGACTGCTACCATGGTGAGGACAGCTTCCTGTTCTGGTGGTGTGAGGAGAGCCCGTCTCAGAAGCAGAGGGTGTATAATTACACCTTACAGTGCCATCAAGGGGACTCAGTTCAGCTGCGAGGGGCATCACAGCGAGTGAAGTGGGTGGGTGAGGGAGTAGCCACTGATTGGGAAAGAGTGTGTGTCGATGTCCTGCGTTTTTCTGCTTTCTCTGCCTTTTTTCAGCTTGCGGGATGTCTGGACTTAGATGGGATATTGTGACTGACACATGGACTTCATTTAGTATAGGACCAAAATGTTTCATATGAGCTACAGGTGAAACTTCTGTTAGAGACATTGATATAGATTCACAAGTTTATACTTGTATTAATATTTTTTCTTTATTTTTTGCTGTTAGCTATAAGTTAGGTAAACATGAAATTATTGTGAAATTCAGATTTTATTTTGAAAGTGTTAGTGCCTGTTCAGCCTTGATATAAGAAAAAAACAGACTGAGAAAGATCACAGAAGCAAGGATCATTACAGTTTTTTGAGCGTGCTAGCCGTGTATTTCTGAAAATAATATGAAAAAGATGTACAAAAAAATAAGGAATCTTTATTTTAATAGTAATAAGAATGTTTAGATAAAGGATTTAGGTTTTGTTGTTTTTTTTACAATTTTGCACATGTTCATTACTTGTACAAAAGTGCTTCAAGAATGACTAATAGATTTGCTGCCATAACAATTCTCTCAAAGCTGAGGTGAGTCTAGCTTCTGCTTATGATTATTTTTGGGTAATTGTGTAATGTAGTCTGTTGACCCAAATTTAAGCATGCTAATATTTTACACTTAAGAGTACTTACAACTCTTATAATGAAAGTTATAAGGAAATTATTTACCAAGGGTTCTTGACTATTAAGGAAATAACTCTTCTGTGCCAGAGGGAATAACAAACACAATAAGTGACGTAACTCAGTAAATTTGATTTGATCCAGCAACAAACAAGATAATTTATTTGCATAAGTCAAACAAATTACAAGTGTACAACTTAAGTTTAAGAATTAACAACAATAAGCATGTGTCCGCGCTAATTAAATATTAATAAGACAACTTCAGAAACAGCAAAACATCATGCTCATGTTAAAACCAGAACATTTACAGGTACTTAAACTTAGGTTTTGGCATGGCAGAAACTTTAAGGAGTAGGAGGAAAGGAGAATGTATTAGTTATTTCTAACTTTTTTCTTGAAGAATGTGGGTTTAACCAGAAGAGCAAGGCATCGTCCACTCGGTTTGAGCCAAAGCAGGAACGCCAGTAACAAGCCAGCTTTTATCTTGATAACAGGTAGCCCATCAACAGACCAGGTAATATGAAGGTCGAAATGTGGGCAAGGAACCCCAGGTTCTTACTCGCTACAGACCCTCACAGGCAGTTACTCCTCAGCGCCAATCTGAAGCTCCGCGTCAAGCCGTAAAGGAGAGGCAAGGCTGAACTGGATCCCGTTTCCCAAATAAAAGTACTTCCCAGAGGAAGTCAAAACAAGTTGCTAGTGGAGCTGTTGAACTCGTGTGCTGGGTCACGTCGTGTCGTGGTCATGTTCCCTGCTGGGATATCTGCCCTTTGGCAAGTGGGTCGAATACCTCAGCTCAGATGGCTGCATCCTCCACGAGGAGAGAAAACAGCTGCTTCTTTGTTGAAGCGGTGTGTCTGACTGAGAGTTGGACCGGTGGTTTTTCACTAAAGAAGAAGGGTAGTTCTTAGGTGTCCGCCCTCACTTTGATAAGTTAGCAGTACAGGGAGCAGTGGTGGGCAGCGCTAATCCAAAATTTAGCTCCGCAATTTCTAAAGCACTTATGCAAACATTTAGGTCCGCAACTTCAAAAGCGCTTATGCCATTGAAAAAACAGCGGAAGCTAATTTTAAAGCGCAAGTTCAATCTGACACTTACTAGCTGGCAACAATTCATGTACAATATATGCACAACAATGCCAACTAGCGGTGTATGAACTCTTTTCCAACTTAATTCTACAATCGCCAATTGCTGGGGATGTGATTTCCTGAAACAGACCTTTAGCTCCTTGTGTAAAAATTAAAAAGTTGTTGGGGATTGCTAGTTCGGTTGCTTCTTTGTCTTTTTCTTTTGTTTGTTGTGAAGCATCAATAAAGTAATTTTAAAACTGTTTATTGAAAAACTGAAGTGATGCATTCTTGGTACTTGACGGATTTGATTTGTGGCGGGAAACAAAAACACGGAGAACAGGAAACTATCTTCCCATCAAAATAAGAGCTTGGATTTTAAAGTTTTCCATGTAGTTGCTCCAGTTGACCACTAAATGCCTGTCTTCATCAGCATGACATCTTTAAATCATTTCTGCGTCTCTAACCCCGGCCGATTGCTTCGACCAATTACGTCAAGTATTGAGCTCCAGCGTTTAAACTTTTTTTTAAAACAAGGAGCTCCAATTGTAAAGTAAAATAAATCAATACATACAAAATTTTAGTATGGATTACAAATGTTCTGTTTTTGCTATTGCCTTCCAACGTAAGCAGACACAAAGCATTGTGGAAAATCAGAACCGTGACTCAAAGCAACAGTCAGCAAGGATGTATGCCTTCTCAATGTGTTTATCTGGGAGGGGTGCTGTTGGAAAGATCACGTGTTGTGATTCATTGACAGCCATACCTTCCGCTTTTCAAGATAATGATGACTGGTAGATAATTAGTTATTAGTGGTACTGCATTTTAATTTTAGGAAGCGCAAGTCCACTTATGAATTATAAAAATTAGAAAGACCACTAAAGCGCAAACGGAATATTTAGGTCTGCAATTAGTGGATTTGCACTTTAGCAGGCTTGTGCCCACCACTGACAGAGAGATTAGAAATGTTAGTTCATAGACTCTACAGAGCTGCACATGTCATGTTGACCTGTTTCACTTCAACACTGAAAGAATGAATTATTTCAACTCAAGACATGTGCAATATGACTCAGACAAATAACACATTGCTGTTTCATAATAAAACTTAAACCATAATGATTAGTTTAGTTAAGTAAGATAATTCATCAGAAAAATCCATAACATAGTTGAATCACAGTGAGAGGGAAAGGATCTGTCCTCATTTCTCATGTAACTTGATAAACATTGTCTCTGATTATCAAATGCATAAGAACTCTTAGTTAAAAGAAAAATAAATCAAAATAATGAAGATTATTATGTTTACTATCTGATTAAGAAGAGAATGTCTCTTTAAAGTTAAGATGACCTTTATGGCTTACCGGTACATTCGGTTTAACTGGAACAGAGTTCTGTCTGTCTTGAAGGGCTCGTCAGAGGCCTGAGGTCAAAGACAGTTTTATTGTTTATTCCACTTGAGGTGACCACTACATATAATAACTTTGTGATCATTTGTGACTTTTTTATCCAGCTTCTCAGACTGTACAGCCTGCCACCAGAGCTTTTTGTGAATGTTCACTCTGTTAAACCCTGAGATCTTGAGAAGGAAGTGAAGGATGACAATAAAAAGAATGATGTCTGCAAGAATTTTTTTAGATAGACAATTTGCTTTATTTTATTTTATTTTATTTTATTTTATTTTATTTGAGATTGTAAATATTAGCTTCGTAAACCTGCTATGATCTTTTTATT